GACAATGCACTGGACCTAAAAAAAAAAAAAGTAGTGTTTTATTTTATCGAGTTTTCTCAATTTGCAATTGCAATTTATATTATTTTACTTAAAATTAAGTTTTTAAAGGGATAGTTCACCCAAAACTGATAATTGTCAATACATAATGCATCCTTCAGTTGTTCTAAACTTGTTCGACTTGATTTTTTCTGGAAAACTGTGACTGACTTTTATTGTTCTTTCTACTGTGGATGTCAATAGTTCCTGGTTTTCAGCTTTCTTTAAAATATCTTTTTTTGTCTATATATATATATATATATATATATATATATATATATATATATATATATATATATATATTTTTTTTTTTTTTTTTTTTTTACTTAAACTTTGTAGTGTTTTTAATAAACATGGTTATCAACAATGGTAATAACAGAATTTTTCATCATTGACTTGGTTCAATGTATACTGTAGCATGGTTAATTACAATATGAAACTATATATATATATATATATATATATATATATATATATATATATATATATATATATATATATATATATATATATACACACACATACATACACATATATATATACACACACACACATATTTAAATATGTACACATATGGGGAAACCTGTAAGTATATAAGTAGAAATGGAAAAACTAACTGAAAAAAGTGCAATAAAATTATATTGTAGAACAGATCAGACAGAAAACTGAGAAAAAACTGTTTGTTGTCACCTATATCTTAAAAGACATCTTAATCGTTTCTCCTACGCCATTATTTTAAATCACTTAAGTTTTAAAAATGGAGATCAAATGATCATGCATTTATTACCAATGAAGAAGTGTTAAAATCTTTGCTCTGTTAATTAAGATGATGGAGTGGATTGCTCTAGTCAACAATGTCTGTTAAGTAATACACCGTAACCATTGCTGAATTGAGAGGAGATTAGGAGGGAACCAGGAACTGGTGATTATTTTCTTTGTAGCTGTTTATCCTATATATTATTTGATGTGATTTTCATGTGAATTCATTTTAAATTAAAATTATATATTTCAGTACTAAGATATCTAAAATACAATTCTCCACACCTCGCATTCATGGACAAAATAGACAACACAAATAAACTAAAACCTAAACCTGCTTGATGCAATGTTAATCGATCATTTTCTGAATGTGTGTCAGGGTTGTTGTTTTTTCCATTTGCTATCACCAAACATGACAATATTTGATTGTTTTTGACTGATTTGTTTATTTGAAGGACTGTATTAACCACAGTTTCCTAATTAGGCATTTGAAGCCAGCGTAGGTAATGAAAGCCAGAGAAAACTACCATTTATTGCAAGGCTAGAGTTTCACTATTGATACAGTATATTTACCTTTTTACAATTTAGAAAATTGTCAGTCAATAATGCATCCTTCACTTGATCCAAACTTGTTTGACTTCATTTCTTTCTGTTGAACACAAAATAATTTATTTTGAAAAAATCTGAAAACCTGTAACCATTGACCTCCATTGTTTTTCCTATACTGTGGATGTCAATGGTTCCCGGTTTTCAGCTTTCTTCAAATTATCTTCTTTATATCTTTGATGAACATTTAATAATCCTTCATGTGATTTAAAAAATATATATATATCAGGGTTTCTGCAGGGCTCACCAAGTTAAATTTAGGACTTTTTAAGAGTTTTTAATGAAACCCATAATGAAGGAAATTTTAGACATCTTCAGGGCTAAATGCTAAGGATTTTTTTCTGTCTATCTCAGTTCAAATAGATTTTCACTCGCCTTATCAAAAATGATTACAATTTAATACATTTAATAATACAATAATAATAATAACAATTTAGTTTGAATATTTGTAATTTATTTTTCAAATATATCCCTTCACAAACCCTATAACCCTTACCAAGAACAGAACAAAACATAGCTGTCACTGTCTTCAGACTACAATAATAATAGTTTAATAATAAAAAAATATTGGTAAGGTCAGTATCCTCAGCAGTAAATAAACAGAGATCTTTTAGGCAAATGTTACTGTAAGGAAAGTAATTAAATGCAATTTTTTTAATAAAAAGTTAATAGTTTTATTGAGATTGGGATTGTTGGTGATTGTGTTAATGGCCAGATTGGGTAGCTATACATGAAGAAAAGATAATTAGGACATGTTAAAAAAAGATTTAAGACTTACAACAGAACTTTTCAGTAGGTTTAAAACTTTTTAAGGCCTAAAATCTCAAGAATTTTTAAGACCCTGTAAATATCCTGAGGATGTTTAATCATTTGTTTTTTCTCATTGATTATCACCAAACATGACAATATTGGATTGTTTTTGACTGATTTGTTTATTTGAAGGATTTTAAAACTATTTCCTAAAGAGGCATTTGAAGCCAGCGTATGTCATAAAGGCCAGAGAAAACTATGGCAAGGCTAAAGTTCCACTCACTATTGATACAGTATATTGACCTTTTTACAGTTTCTTTATTTGACATCTGACACATATTTGTGTCAGGTAAAACCCCACCCAGATGAAAGTCTAAACTGAGCTGCAGAATACTTGCCAATAGAAAATGGCAAGCATTGAGACACAACCATCAAAGTGAATGTTACATTAAAAACACTGTAATAACAGTTTCTGAATTCTACATATAGAAAGTTAACAATAAATCTGCCTTGTAAGGTGTCAGAAAACATCACAGATGTACAGTAAGTATAAGCTTAAATGTAAAAAAAATCATTCTAGCATGCATTCAGGAAAGAATGCATGTCCAAAATCATTTAAAGTAGTGTAAAGGCCACAAACACTCCCTCTGCAAGATCTAACCTGCCCTGCAGTCTGCATTTAAGAGGCCAGAGGGGTAAGTTTTCGTGTGCATGTGAAAACACTGCACAGATTGGTTAAAGAACTTGCCAAAAATTCAGTCATGTGCAAAATTATGAACACACACACTAAGTTAACATTTGTAAAACCTGTATATTTTCATTATAAAATATGAAAGTATTGTATATAAAATAATATCTGCTTTTAAGTCAGCAAAGCTAAATCAAAAACAGTCTTATAACAGTAACTGCTCTGGAAAAGTTTAAAAAAATGAAAAATTAATATTTTACACACTATGTCAGGCAGTCTGATGAAGTAATCAAACACCCTTTCAATGTACAGTGAGTGAGGAAGGTACAGATAACAGTCAGTCAGGATAAACAGACACTTATCTTTGAACTGAAGTGACAATGGCACAATTTATACACACCCACGCTGGGTGTGAATGTCCTTGTTTTTTGTTCACCATTTCCGTTGTTACCCAACAATAGACAAAACTGCAAATCTGAAGCCCTATTTATAGGCCACCTCTGCAATCCAAAGCTGGCAGGGTTGTATGATGGTTTAAAGCCAACAATTGTCTCTGTAAACTGTGCAAAGCCAGTTTTTACATTTAACAGAGAACTAAAATGCAGGAAGGGCTGTATAACTGACTGTTAATACAGTATAAATCAAGTAACACGATATCTCTCAGTAGATATAATAGAATACTTTCCAGGATCAAGTACTGGCATGACGAAAAGGCTTATCGAAAAGTGGCTTGTAACAATACAGCACTTTAAGGCCCTAAAAACTGAGCTTCGGGATCCCTCTGGACTTTCCCATAGGGTTTTTTTAAATGGTGGTTTTGGATTTACGAGTAAAATAAAGCCTAAAGTTAGTATTTTTTTAATAAATGTTCATGTCAACATACATTACGCAAACTGTGCTATAAATAAAGAGTACTATACCACCAAAAGGATGTGTACATGCTTGACGAACACTACAGTTTCAAGAGTTCACACTTAGCTGATGATTAATTATAAAAGCTTGTTTGGCATGCTGTCCCGGGAGAGAGTCCTGAGCTCATGAGATCCTCGAGCCCAGGGCTCCCTCCCGTTGCAAGGCGGGAGGGGAGTTTGAGCTCAGGTAGATCTCGAGAACTCCCCTGCTGTAGCAAGTGATTGTTCTTGAAAATAACTACTAGATGCGTGCCTATGGTGCCAATTTGGATTGTTCAATTGACTTAATTGCAAGTTTTTAGGCGGTGGGAGGAAACCAGGGAACCCGGGGGAAACTCACGTGAGCACGGGGAGAAGTGCAAACTCCACACAGAAATGTCTGTAGTTTGGTAAAGTCAGGAACCAGAGACATTCTTGCTGTGAGGTGACAGTGCTACGCACTGGGCCACCGTGTCACCCGTCTAAGAAGGAGGAGTAGGGGAGGAAGGGGGGACTCTTCAAAACGAAGATAGCAGTGGAATGAAACCCAGGTTATTTATAGTAGTTTAGGAGAGATTGGAGCGTAGTGAATTGGGTAATGCGGATCCAGCCGCTAGCAATCATAAGCACATGATCCTCTCGAATATTGTTTATACATAAACTTCACTTATACTTCTGAAAAACTATGAGTGCAAGTACTTAATCCAATATCTTTACTATGTCTACAATGCAGTCATGTAAGCCGTTATTCTTTATCAGTCATCATCATGGCTAGATTTCTGCTTCTTATGCTGATATCACACAGCATGTAAATGTATAAACAAGCCTGTCGTGCTGAAGTGGCCTTTGTGAAATGTGAAGGGGACGTGTGTTTACCACTTGCACCCAGAATAAGGATGCCATTTGAAGAAAGTAGGAAATATGATAAAACGTAAACATTTTCTTGACCTAAAGAGTAATAAAAATGGGTTTTCACATGCCGAGGAAGTAGAAGTGGTACAATCAAAATGCTGCATCTTTAGAGGATAATATAAAAGCCATACGTTTCTAGCTGGCACTTCTTCAGGTTTAAATTAAACACAATAATCAACATAGAAAATGTTAAACTATCTTCAAAATTCTGGGCTCCGTTCAAAATGTTGCAAAATGTTCTTTGAAATGGAAAAGGTGGTGGTCGAACATCTTGTTCTGATGACACAAGAGTTGCAACTTTATGGCAGCTGAGCAGGCCATTCTTGTGATCTTTTAAAAAAAAAACAGAGCCTGATGAAATCGGTATAAATATGTGTTTAATACTGAAAAATATGCGCATTGTTACAGTATCTGCTCAAGTTGTCCAAAATTTAAGAGAAGCAACTTTACTTGAACCCATTATGTCTCTTTAATACCACAAGTTGCTTCCATAGCAAAACATTGGTTGCAGCTAGAGGAGATACAGCTGCGGCTAGAAGTTACAATGAGAATTATTTTGATTATTTATTAAAAATATTATCTATTAAATGTATTTTATTAACGTCTACCTCTACCCCAACCCTAAACCCACCAAAGCCATCACAGTTGTGACAGCAATTATACCAAGTATTCAAATTATTTATGAAATTAGCCATTTAACTGTATTTTAACGTCTACCCCAACCTTAAAACGAACCGCCACAGTAATGTAATAACAGCAATTATTGTTGTATAGTGTCAACAAAATTAGGCTATATTGATTGGAGCAGTGGTTCTCAAACTTTTTTCACCAAGTACCACCTCAGAAAACAATTGTCTTTCCAAGTACCACCATAATAAAAAGTATTAAAATACAGAAGCAGTACCACCATAATAAAAAGTATTAAAATACAGTAGCAGTAGGCCTAATTAAGCAGCCAAAGCTCTACACAGTTTAAAAACAAGGCAGATTTATTCCTAATATTTTGAAAATGTATTATTGTCAGCCACTTTAAACATTAGAAATAGTTTGAACATTAACATTGCATTGAGCCTACAAGTAAAAAATAAGTCACGTTTGAATTAAAATGTGCTTTTAAAAGTTAATTAAAATAGACACTGTTCTTAAAAAGTAAAAAGAAAACTGCTGTAGCCTATTTATCAAAACCTGGAAAAGTTCTGTGACCTCATTAATATAGGCTATTTCAAATTCATATATAAACTCTTTTTGATAAATTTTTTAATTATTATTTTTTAATTATTCAGTGATCACTCCGCATATGACTAGTGGGACCACTAGTGGTACACATGCCACAGTTTGAGAAACACTGGATTGGAGTATCCACAGCTGTATCCAATCTAGACTTCACCCAAAAACACAGTTTTGAACTTGAACGTCCGCCTAGATGTGAAGTACAAAAATTTGTAAAGTAAGTAAAGCAAAATGGGCGATGCAGTGCGCAGTAGGTAGTGCTGTCGCCTCACAGCAAAAAGGTCTCTGGTTCGAGCCTCGGCTGGGTCAGTTGGCATTTCTATGTTAAGTTTGCATGTTCTCCCTGCATACGCATGGGTTTCCCTCGGGTGCTCCGCTTTCCCAGACAGTCCAAAGACGTGGTACAGGTGAATTGGCTAAATTGTCCGTAGTGTATGTGTGTGAATGGGTGTGTATGGATGTTTCCCAGAAATGGGTTGCAGCTGGAAGGGCATCCGCTGCATGAAACGTGCTAAATAAGTTGGCGGTTCATTCTGCTGTAGCGACCCCGGATTAATTAAGGGACTAAGCCGAGAAGAAAATGAATAAATGAAAGCAAAATGTTAACCAGAGATCTTATTTTACATGCTCACAAACAACAACAACAACAAACAGTATAGACCTACTAAAATTGACCCAGTAGTATGCCCTAGAACAGTCCAGAAGAGTGGGTTTAGTGCCTAATTTTCTGATTGGCTAATAATGTGCCGGTGTCTCCAACAACTCTTTCTTGAAACTGTAGAGATGCTTTTGATAATAGTAGTCAAAACAAAGTAATTTGTTACAGGACATAATTTAATCCAGATCTCGAAGAGTCTTTCCAGACTCTGCTGCATTTCTGCAGCTGTAAAGCCACTTGATAATCCGAGCGTTGCGCTCGATCACTGACGACCCTTGTCGGACAGTCTCCTGCAATTCCTCCTCTTGCAAACCGTCGCTGCAGCTCGAGAACCCGTCATCCGACGTGGACACGCTGATGCTCCTGATATTGGAGCTGAGATCGTCCGAGCGCGCGGAGAAATTCTCTTTGCCCAGCGACTCGATGATGTCACCGTCGAGCCCGCAATATTTGAAGAACACGTCGAAGTCCGCGAAGTTTTTCGAGTAGCGCGAGCTGATGTCCGAGCTGGAGCGCGCCACTCCTGTGCGACTCTTGCGCTCCTGCTCTTTTGTTTCAAGAACTTTCCTGTGAGGAGTCGCTCTCTGAACCTCATTTGTCCCGCTTGCGGTTATGGTTACCTGTGAGGACTCTTTTCCACATTCCTTACTTGTGGCGCGATCAGATTCTCCACCTTTGTCTCTAACGGTAAGTAACGGCTTTCTGTTGAGTCTCCTTCTCAGTACAGGTGCTCCTCTCAAGAGTTCACACTTCTGTCTGTATAACAGAATCGAGTCACGTTTCTTCGAGCTGCTCCGTCTCACCACGTTGCTATCTTCTTCGGGTAACTCTTTATAATCAACATTAACAGTGTTTTTTACGGAATCGTCTTCCTTTGAAGACCCTCGACTGCTCCCAGAGGCAGACTCGGTGCTGATAACCGGTTCCTGAGAGGAACCGACCTCTTGTTGGCATTTTACATACTGTGGTTTAGTGGCTGCCAGCCTCTCCACCGCACTGACGCGTCCTTTATTCGCCTCGTTTTCTCTCTCCATCTGTTTCCTTAAAAACTCCGGTCCCTTCACAAGAATGCGTGACGGGTCCACCTCGAACGATCCCTGCGTTTTCTTCAACATTTTCCTCGTATAAGCAGGTGAGTCCTGCGTGCTAAATCCACAACGGCTGTGTTGCTCAATGTGTTTAGGGGTCCGGTAGATGAGCAAGCATGCACAGCACTGACGCACACACATTTACCTGTTCATACTCACCTACTCCACCCACCAACAGGTCAAGACAATGCGAGCTCTGACATAAGAGATGTCTGGGAAAAGATGAGGAAGACTTTCAGGAAACATCAACTATAACGTTTTCAAAATAGGATGGAGTTTTGCAATATTTAATAAGCAGAAAGAATTAAGTAAGTGGAAGCTGGTGGTAAGGTTTTTACATCTTTATTACAGGACATATAATACAAATACAGTATGAACCCCAACACATGCAATTACATTTTTAATGTAAACATTTCTAAAAATAATAACATTAGTTTATTTAATGCAATTGCATGTTTTAACAATTTGTTAAGAAATGTTAAAATTACCTTTTTTACCCATGTTGTTCAGGTAAGAATTTTGTGTGTGACTGACTTTTGTTAAAATGTTAATTTTTACAAACATTGCAGCCACATTTATAAACAAAAATGCAAGTAAAATCAATGTATTTTGTTTGAAAATTAGTTTTTTGGTGTTTTGTTAATAATAAGTAAATTTTTTCCAGATGGAAACATATAGCCTATTATATTCATTTTATTCATATTATAGATTTTTTGGCAATTATTAATTATAAATTTAAAGCAATATAACTAAATAAATTCTAATGGGTTTAACTCTCTAACTCATTCATTCATTAATTTTCTTGTCGGCTTAGTCCCTTTATTAATCCACGGTCGCCACAGCGGAATGAACCGCCAACTTATCCAGCAAGTTTTTTTACGCAGCGGATGCCCTTCCAGTCACAACCCATCTCTGGCAAACATCCACACACACACTACGGACAATTTAGCCCACCCAATTCACCTGTACCACATGTCTTTGGACTGTGGGGGAAACCAGAGCACCCTGAGGAAACCCACAGGAGAACATGCAAACTCCACACAGAAACGCCCACTGAGCCGAGGCTCAAACCAGCGACCAATCAACCTTCTTGCTGTGAGGCGACAGCACTACCTACTGCGCCACTGCTTCGCCCTAACTCCCAAACTTTATTACTTCTTTACTTTATTTAAAACATAATCAAAATAAAACACTTTTGAATACTTAATCATCTTTATTTTTTGAAGTATGCCATAAAATATTTCAGATTCTTATTTAACATGTTTTCTTGTTAGTTTTTTTTTTTTTTTTTAATAAAACCAAAATCAGGGCAAGTCAGTGGCACAGGTTGTTCTGTCGCCTCACAGCAAAAAGGTTGCTGGGTTGCTGGTTTGAACCTTGGCTCAGTTTGCGTTTCTGTGTGGAGTTTGCATGTTCTCCCTGCCTTTGCGTGGGTTTCCTCCGGGTGCTCTGGTTTCCCCTACAGTCCAAAGACATGCGGTACAGGTGAATTGGGTAGGCTAAATTGTCAGTAGTGTACAGTATGTGTGTGTGAGTGGGAATGTGTGTGTGGATGTTTCCCAGAGAAGGGCATCCGCTGCGTAAAAACTTGCTGGATAAGTTGGCGGTTCGTTCCGCTGTGGTGACCCTGGATTAATAAAGGGACTAAGCCGACAAGATAATGAATGAATGATAAAACCAAAATCAAGTGTAGTCGTGCAACGGGATTATGTTTGTTTGATTTTTTTTTGTCAACTCACAATGCTGTGTGTGTAAACCATTATTTCAAGAGTTCACACTTAGCTCATGATTTATACATAGCTTGTTTGGCATGCTGTCCCGGGAGAGAGCCCTGAGCTCAAGGGATCCTCGAGTCCAGGGCTCCCCCCCTTTTGCAGGGCGAGTGGAGATTGAGCTCAGGTTTATCTCAAACTCCCCCGCTGCTGAGGCCAAGGCGAACTTCCTGAGAGTAAGACATTATAAAAAAGGTTTAGGCTTGTTTTATCTGTAATATAGAGCACATTTGGATGGTGGGAGGAAACCGGGGAACCCGGGGGAAACCCACGCGGACACGGGGAGAACATGCAAACTCCACACAGAAATACCAGATGGCTCAGCGAGGACCCAACACCATTGGTATTCTTGCTGTGAGGCAACAGTGCTAGTCACTGGGCCACCGTGCCGCCCATTCTGGATAAAGGAGGAAGAAGGGGAGGAGGGGGGTTTCTTCCAGACGAAGATAGTTGTAGAAAGGAAATGAGGATATATATATAGTGATTTGGGATCCTTTGATTGGAGGATCATAATTAGTTAATGTGGACCAGCTGGGTAAATCATGAGCACATGCTCCTCTCGAAATTAGTTTAAAACTAAACTTCACTTAAAACAGTTATTCTTTAGCAGTCATTATTTAAAACAGTCAAAATATGGTCTACCATTTGGTAGAGCAGGCAGTTATATGGTTAATACTGATAATTCTGAGATTATATTTTTGTAAATTTTTATAATGCAATACATATATATATATTCTGGGCTAATTCATGTGTAAAAAGATTTTAGTTTAAAAATTTGAAAACTTATAAATCACAGATGCTTCATGTTCAAACAGACGCATAATCGATAATCACAATTATATTTTGAGCGTATTGTGAAGGTTAAGCTTATACTAATCATTTGTGGCAACAGACATGTCTTTTAAAAAACTCTTTAAATCTTGACTTGAATCTTGTTTTTCTCAACATCTGTTTATGCATCGTGTGTCCCGATTCAATAATCTTCCCCCCTTTGTACAGGCTCATGTTGTCAAACAAAGTCCAAAAAATTGGAAAACTCTTTTGACAGATCTGACCTGCTGAACTTTCGTTTGCAGAGTCCTTGTTCATACGCGGCCATATAAGTATTGTCATCTTGCAGCAGTTTATAAATGAAAGAATTGCAGATGTACAGCGCATAAAATCTAATTGGCTTACACACATTTATTCTAATTAAAAGCATACAGATTTAGATTTATGACAGAAAGACTTTTGGGAGGGGATTAAAATGAATGCAGGATCTCCGTGAAGACATTAGATGGCAGCAGACTAGAGGAAGTGTGAAGCGAGCACATGATGAGTGCTGACTTCATAAAGCCTAATAAAAGTAATTAGAAAATGAAGCGATAAAATGACCTTGACTTTTCTAAAACCATCAGTATTGTCATGCCGTGTAATTTTAATGGTCGACAAAAAAACAACCAATAAATGTGACTAGTAAGCAGCCAAACACTTCACCCTAGCAGCCGCATAGTTACACATTAAAAACCACAGTAACACCAGCATATCAACACTTTGGAAAGATTTTTCCTGACAGGATTCCTGTGGAGTGTTCGTGCATCGTTCAAAGTGTAACCGAGAATTCATTTCTTCACTTAACCAAGAATTTGTGCAGATGTAATTTATGTGCGTGAAGAAGCCTGCTGTACAGTGAGCTGGAAAGTATCCAATAGCAGTACATTAAAAACCTATATAGGGCTTTCTCCAGTCTCCCAAAATTGTGGATCCAGATGCAACGGGGAGGGAATCATTATGTCAGTTGGCTTCGAAGCACGTGAACATCTTTCACCATTCTGCATCACTTACAACCCTTAATAACTATAATTGTATACAGATAGTTCACTGATAATGACACTGAATAGTGAGTCTAAATCCTCATTTGTAAGTCGCTTTGGATAAAAGCGTCTGCTAAATGACTAAATGTAAATGTCAATGCCACATTGAGAAGTTCTCCAAAACACCCCCTCTAGCCGTCCTTCATCACCACAGAATGACAAATTACAACCAAAACCACAAGCTTGCATTGACCTTGTTTACACATCGCACAAAGTAAAAGGTCGTGACGTGCCCGTTCCACACCTTAAAATGATCTCTCAAGGTTTTTCTGGACGAACGTATGAATGATTCCAGACACGATTTCTGATAGGAAACAGCATTGACCTCCAGGGTTAATCATTTAGGTCTGGAGTGAGGTATGATTGTGTCAGTCTCTAAATGCACAGCCTTCATACATTGGCATGGGTATTTAGGCTGCCGATGTGAAGGATAAAATAATCATGTTTTTTTTTTAAAGATCTTGTTAGGCTGCGCTGACAATTTGTGCAAACACAGAAAGTTCAAGTTTAGCGTTCACTCAAATCTGACAGGTATTTCCTGAGGACAGCATATTGCGTCCGTATGCATGGCTGAGGATGTTAATGTGAAGACATAATTAATGAAAGTTTCAAAGATTTGCTTATTACCGAGAAGTAAACCCTGAGAAGATTTATGCATGAAGCAGCTGGAGACCAGCTGAATTTCAATTTGGGAATAACTGCTGTACAGATTAATATCTAGCTAGTGTGTTGAAGGGTTAGTTCACCCAAAAATTGTAATTATATGTTTGTCAAATATATCAAACCCCCAGGACATTCGTTTGTCTTTAGAACACATTTATTCATTTTCTTTTCAATTTAGTCCCTTTGTTAATCAGGGGTCACCACAGTGGAATGAACCGCCAACTTATCCAGAATATGTTTTACGCAGGGGATGCCCTTCTAGCTAAAACCTACCACTGGCAAACACCCATGCACGCTCATTCACACACACTACGATTTCCCCCGCAGTCTTAAGAATGTCTTATGACTGTTAGGGAAACCAGAGCACCCGGAGGAAACGCAAACACACACCAACCAAACACGGGGAGAACATGCAAACTACACACAGAAATGCCAACTGACCCAGGCGAGGCTCGAACCAGCGACCTTCATGCTGGTTCAATCCACTGCGCCACCGTGACACCCCTTCAGAACACAGGATAAGATATTTAAAGCTCACACTGGGATTTCAACCATGATTTGGTAATCCTAAGATTCCTGAAATCTAAAGGTTCAGATCTGTGATCATTGGTTTGACATGTTCATAAACAACTGCTTAATGGCTAATGCGATCAGATTTTCCCTCTGATGAAGTTCTGAGAGTGTCAGAAGTTTCCAGACACTTTTCTTTAATGTGACAACAGCTCCAAGGAGCATCAAACCAACAACCAATAGGAGCTCCAAATATGATGATGTAATCCTTGTGACACTGTTTGGGATATTTGTAAATGACACAGTATTTAATTAATAAGAACTTTATTTTACTATAGGACAGTTATGCAGTATGTATTTTGAAGTTCCATTGTGAAAACTACTGTGTAGATACGAGATATCCTTCACATACCCTTCACATAATAGACCCTTCACATTTCCAAAACTCCACGATTGTGTTATCAGTACTTCCAGAAAAAAAGAAAAAAACTGTGTGAGACTGATGACGGCAGCCAGAAGAGAGAATAACGTCATAATAGCCCCATAGAAGGTGCGTAATTTATTTTTTGTAATTCATATAAATGCATATAAATGTTAATATTTTTTTAAAATTCATAATATTAAAAACTTTCAACAATTTAAAAATATGATGATTGTTAAACGCGCCTTTATAAGTCTTGTGAAAAGG